GGTCGTACACCCACGATTCATCGATTTTTCAGATTCACGCCCGCTCAAAGTTGCATTTTAATACGTGCCGACTTTATCCGCAACGCTTGGCAATTGAATGCCTCCGGATCTTTTGGCAGTTTCTCCAGATCCTCGAGCTTCGTTTCTTCTTATTTTTATTGTATCTCTCGGGATTGTCGACGCGTTTTGATGAGATCTATGACAAGATTTCAATTTGTAATTTTTAATTTACTTATTGGAATGAAAAAAGAATGAGGAATTGTAAGAATTATATTTCAAAAGAAAATTTTCTATTTTTTTTTTTTTGAGTAGTAGTTTTTGAATAAAATTGCCTTAATGTTTTTACAGATTTTAAGGTATTATTTATAGTCATTTTAATTGTAGGGAAATAATTCAAGTAATGTTAAAATTGAAAGATGCAGTTTATTGATTCTTTTTGCTGCAATTTTCGTATTATGTTATTTAACATTCAGAGAAGAGTAGAGATATAATAATTTGTTTGTTTATCGAAGTAGGTGCATGGTAATAAAAGATTGGTGGGATGTACAACCATAATTCCTTTTTTCACGTAAAATTTCCATCCACTATGACGAAGCATCGTCATCTCCCCTAATACTGCTTCCACCATTACGTCGCCTTCATCACCGGATAATCAATAGACACGTCCGTAACTTTGCAATATAAAAAAAAAAATATGCTAGCAATATTTTAGATTATTAGAAAATCAACTCCGATATGTTCGAATTATCCATATAAAAGATAATTTGACTGCGAGATTTTTTACATTGAAAATTGGATACAAAAATCTTAAAATCATCAATAAAATAATAGAAATCTAAATTTATGCTTTATACCATGCTGTGATATTTTTATGTCAATTAAATTTAATTTTATAAAAATAAATCGTAAATAAGAGATAAGAATCTCTGTTGGTATGTATGTATTACAAAGTATGCAATTTTTCGTGTCTATTATTCAATCTTCAATTATAATCAGAAATAAACTTATATAGCATTCATTAAATCTTCCAAGAATTCGATATTATCTCTGAAGCAGTATCGTATTCAGTTTCTTGCAACTTTTCTTCTTCGTAATCCAATACAATAAGTCTTCTAGCCGATTGTTATCTACAGTTTTCCCTTATCTTCCAATAATTGCCACCTAATCGGTTTAATTAACAAGAAAAAAGGCGACATGAAGTGCAATATATCTCTCTGGACTTTATACGATGGAAAATGTTTTATAGGATTTTCGTTCCTTGATTGATATTAATCGAAATTCGATATTTCGAAATAAATTTAATATATACGGAAAACGTATCTACTATACTCCCGCATTATTTGACGCAGATACTTTCCACAAATCCAACGACAAACAACATAACACGTTCAATAATTCATAAATAATTTCGCGTCTGAGAGAACCACGCATAATGTTTCCACCATTGGAATTTCAGATCAGGCACGAGAAAGTGCACGTCCAACACGATTCATGATTCCAAGCTGATCTTGAAAATATCAATCTCAAATATTTTAATATTTTATCACGTGAACTAATCTCAAACATTCCGAGTTTGGATTTCTTTTCAACAAACATTGAATTGATTCTATTAAGAATCGAAAAGTTTAAATTTATGTAAAAGTAATGTTTATTAAAGAACGTATATGCGATAATTTATGCATATTGTTTTAGAAAGGAACAATACGTGTATCAAAAAATAAAAAATCCGCGAAATTTTTCATTATAATTGCAACATTGAAAATTAAAGCTCGTAAATGTAAGTTAATTATTTATTATTTAATTTTTTTAAATTTTATAAAAAAGAAGTAGTAGCGAAATTTTCAATAAAAAAAAAATTCTTCCTTCTCGTAAAATTGAAATTAAATTTTCTCGAAAAAATTTTTAACGATTTAAATAAATTATATAAGAATGTAATTTAATATTATAGAATAGAATGAACTAATTGAATAATATGAAATTGTATTAACAATTTATATTTTTAATTGTGATATAGAATATGATATTTTTTAAAAATTGAATATCACAGTGAAATATATTGAAAAATTTTCGACAAAGGTTAGAAATTTCCAACAAAATAACTGAATATTGCATTTTATACAATATTTCGTTTTTATTTTATGTAATTTTTTTTTCAATTCTCGTATCAAAAAAATGGAGAAATTACTATGGTGATACATGTTGCAAATTTTCTGCATGACATATTTCTTTTATACACCAACGATATATTAAAGTATAAATTATAAACATAAATTTAATCAGTATTTTATAAATATTCATCATCTGACCGAATAATACTTAGATTCCTTATTTTTTTAAGTTATTATACTTATATCACGTATAGTTGGATCATAAAATAAAAAACAATCTACAATCTACAATTTATGTACAAATTTAAAAATGTGTAAGTGCTACTTTCATCTTTTTTAAACTTTACAAGATTCGATATATAATAATCGACATATGTCACAAATATATCCATATAAACACATTTTTATCTTGAATATATTAATAATAAACCGTTCTCGACAAAATATCAAAGCATTTCAATCAATATTTCAATTAGGGATAAATATAACGATAAAAAACTCGATTATTCTCTCAACACTACACCACTGGTAAAACGTTAACGCGGCGAACAAACGTATCGCGACGAACGCGTTGTTTGAGGGTGTGTATCGACGGGATTCCATATTTAATCGCGTGCAACTCGAATCGGTTATTCCTGGCCCACACGTTACACGTTACACGTGAGACCACTTGAGCAGCCTCTGTTCCACTGATTGCACAATTACGGTCGGCGATTATTTGCTTTGCCGCAGCGTGTCACCACCGTGTCACGGACATTGCATTTTCCACTGGACAGACGTGGCGACCACAGCGGACTTTTAATTATTCAATTAGCATCGGTGCAGCTCCTCGCTGACGTCTTGCTTAATTTGTAAATGCGATCGTGGCGCAATTGTTCATCGTCAATGAACCGCGGCTTGCGGCCCTAGTCCCGCTTGTTAAACGTCATTTCTTTTACTCGTTAAACGAAATCGAATTGTGAATCGATGGAATAACGTCGGATGGATAATAATACGCGAGGTATTATTGGGACGAGATGGCGGTAGATGAAATTTCTGGTTTTGGAACTTAAGCCGGGTGTGTCTCCCCTTCCGAACTATATGGTTCATAAACTATAGCCCGCGAGACGGTTGGTGGGTCCGCGAGCAGCCGCATTAGGAGACAGGGGGTGGAGGAGAAAGATGTTGGGGTGAATGATGCGTCTTAATGCAGCGCCTCTGTGTACCGAGTTGTTAAGACGTCGAAATTGATTGTGTGTTTTATGGATGGAAGGGGGAGTTATTGGTGAATGCGATGGGGATAATTTGAGATTAGTATTGAAGTACAGTTAGAAAATAGTTAAAGAAGGAAGTGAAGTTTGAAAATTGGTAAATGAATTGGTAAAATCTGATGAATGTTGAAACTTTTGAAATTAAGAATTCTTGAAAAGTAGTTTTTTGATTAGTATTGTAGTACAGTTAGAAAATAGTTAAAAAAGGAAGTGAAGTTTGAAAATTGGTAAATGAATTGGTAAAATCTGATGAATGTTGAAACTTTTGAAATTAAGAATTCTTGAAAAGTAGTTTTTTAAAGTAATGTAAAAATATTTAATTTTGGTTTCGTTATAAAAATATATTTATAACATATACAATTTAATATTTTTTAAGGTCAATATATTATTTATCGCGATGTTTTTAAATTTATATCGTACTGATTAAATATTCATTCGAAAAACTTTGAATGTGCAAAGATTCGTCGTATAGTCGAGATTATTCCTGCTTCTGCGTATATGTGGTCGCACAATATGGAAGATTAAAAAACTTTTAATTGAGAAGTATTGTGGAAAATGTGGTACAAGTGCATTTATTTAAACACGAAATGAAGTAGAGAAAATCGGATAAGATACGAATTCATTTAAGGAATGATAAATCTCCGAGTCTTTAAGATTGTGTATTAACGCATCTTTTAAAATTAAGAATATATATATTTTTTCCCCCATTCAAATTCAGCTTGAATCGTAATTTTCTAAAGATAAAAATTTTCCCTCCGAGTTCCTCAATTTACAAGATGAGTGTCGGATGAAGTATTCACTGGCAAAAATAATTCTAAATGATAGTATGCCGTAAATTATATTTCACGAAATAATAACATTATTTGGAAGTTTAAGAAGAGAATTATTGCATCGTAATTATAATAAATACTATTTATTATTTTAATTCAACGATGAACTGCAAATTCAATCCTGAGAAGGATTTAAAAATTATCGCATAATTTTTTCACATTTTTATAGAATCACTAATATACAATTTCAACTCTTTAAAATTTCTTATCATTTATAAAAGAATTGAATGCGAAATAAATACATGATAAACACTATTATCAGAAAATTAATATTGATAACGATATCTTCTTAAAAAGATATTTCAAGATGATCACTTAACACTTTCAATCAAAATAATCGTAACAATAATCATATATATCTTAAACAATTAAAAAAGAAAAAAGTCAAACAAATAGAAAATAGAAAATTCTCGAACAAAGATATTTCAAAGATCACGTTGTTTAACACATGCATTGGAAACGAAGCATCTATTCAACCGCAAAACCGGAACGTTCTCACACTTTTACGTTCCGTTTTGCAACACTTCTCATGCACTTCGTTAAATTCGCCCCGTATGAATACCGAATTATCGAATAACATCCCCTCTGGAATCCTTCTTAAACCGTTGGCCGAACCATTGGAAACTCTGAGCCATGCATGCGAATGCATCCGGAACAAGCTGCGGGAAGCTCTTAAACGGGATGCTTCAGATGAATTCGAAGTAAGAACAACGTGCTTCTTTCGTGCACGTTCCACGAATTTACCGAGATGACAGTGAGATGTTGAGCGCACATACAAACAAACATACACACGCACATACACGCACACGTACCTTGAGTGACCGCGATCCCTTCGATAACCAGGAGAAAAGCAGCGAGTATCAGGAGGGCGAGCCAACGACACAGCATTTTTAACACTTCGGTTCACTTCGTTCCCACCGTCGTTTAATTTCGTCCTTTTTTTCTTTCTTATTATCCTCGATGCAGACGTAGAAGGAAGCCAAGGATGAGCTTGGAGCTAAAATAGGTTCCAAACTCTACCTCCTCTTATCCACCCCCTTTTCTCGACCACTTTCCCTTCGCACGACGACATCCATATACGTACATATATATATATATATATCTACACACTCTATCAGACCGTGTTATGCAACTCGTACACGACTCGAACTTCACTGTACCATCTATACTTACGCAGTCACTGTTACCCGGAGGACACAACTATAACCACGAACGAAAGCTTCGCCATCGGAATCGCGTATTCCACTCGCGGCTCGCCGCCTCCTCCCTCGCCTCCCTCGAAATTATCGTTCGATATATATATCGCGTGTTTTGTGAATCGTCTCGCGGGGGATGATTCGCGTAACCGCGGAGGGGAGGATCAAGCCGAGGATCGAAGGAAACGACGAAACTGATCCGTATAAACCGCTCTATCTCTCTCGTGTTTGCCGAATTGGTCGCACACTTGCCGAATTCCACCGTTACGTACGATCCTTCCTCAGAGGCAATGCAACTGTTCACTCGAGCAATCGCAACCGCGCTCAAACCCACGTTTGATCACACGTGGATCCTTACCACCATTGCCCTCGACACGCATCCTCGACACGCGATCGCCACTCGTCTGTCGCATCTTTTCCTCGCTTCCCCCCCTCCCCTTCCCTCGATGCTCGTATCCTCGATGTATTTCGCGGGCAGATGTGTCTCGAGGGACGCGCTCCTTCCTCGACCTCCCCCCTTTCTCAACCTGAGCCGGGACAAAAATCGCACGGGGGGGGAGTAGAGGGATCACCGGTAACGGAGACGATGATCACTTGTTCGATGAGGCGGATGATAGTGGTAGATCCTTGGCGGAGGGACACGCGCGGGTATACACGCTTGTTCGTCGACCTGCTCGACGGCGTGCACGCGACGACGTCGAACGCACATGGACCAGCCGCGTTTTCACCACGGACGCGGTGCCGCTTGGCGTCGCGGCGCGAAATGATGGTGCGGCCTGGCGTCTCCTCGTCCACGCATGCGCCCTACCCTTTACGCGTTACGAGGCGCGGACGGGTTACGCGCAGACCACTTCTACTTGACGCGCTCGAGAACCGACTGGCTCTCGGCTGGTACGGGTCGGGAATGATCTCTCTCTCTCTCTCTCTCTCTTTCTCTCTCTCTCTCTCTCTCTCTCTCTCTCTTTCTCTCTCGTTGTCGTCGACGGGTCAGCTGCCACGCAACCCTCTCCGACGCGATACGATCTTTGAGGGCGTCGTGACAGGGGATACCCCCCGCGCTCGCTTCGCAGAAATCCGGGGAATTCTCGGGCTGAAACGAGGCAGCGGTGTTAAACGTTAAAGGGAAGGGGAGGTGGGTAACCATTTGCACACACCGAGACGGAAACCTTGAGATTTTCGTGGTTGATTTTCTTTCTCGAGAAGGGAGGAGTTTGAAAGATGGAGTGGACCGGATGATAGAATGTGCGTTAAATCGTCCAGATTAAAACGTGTACTTTTTGATGTATTATTATAGGTTTTGTAATTTATATGGGCGCTTCGGGATGAAGAAATGGGGGAACTTTTGGATTGGGATAATTGATTGAAGCCTTATTTAAAGTTTCATAGAGATGAATGGAAATTGTGGTTTTTCCCAAATTCAAAGAATCGTGCCGTTTCTTTCGCGAAGATGTTTTTCTTGTTTGAATCGAAGAGTTTGCAAGAATCAAATAATGTACAAGAATAGATGATATTTAAATTTCTTCTATTTCTTTTTCTAGAAAACAACTTGCACAAAGTGAGAAAGTTCATCGTAAAAAATTGGCAAGCAGATCGAAAAGGTGCATCAATTATCGTGCCTGGATTGTACTCGTTCGATGAAAATCCTTTGACGAGGAACATTAACGGTATCAACGCTGGGATTAATGGAGGCAGCAAGCAATGTAATTTACGATTGCCAGGGGTGTTAAGGAAAATACGGAAGCCATCCATTTCGGGGGAAGAAGTTATGAAATCCGCAAAAATTTCGCACGGATCCAACATAAATTATTTCTGAACGTCTAGACATGGGCGTACAGACTGTATAAAGGTTTCGTTATCGTGGCCTCCACGTTGAATCCCGCCGGTTATCCGTGGGCACGTTGCATTTAAGAACGGCACGAGACGCGCACTAATCTTCGCGTTTCTTCCCTCCTTCGAGCGTAGGATTTCGCGGAGAAAGAAAAGTACCTCGCGTATTATCGTCCAGTATGCAACCCAGGTATCTCCCTTGACTTATGAGGGAAAGCCCTCTCTGCGAGAAACCACCTTTGCAGGATCCAGGAGGGGATCATTAAAATATTCGAGTTGCTGGGAATCGTTTCGACAAGGATTTCTGTGCGAATTTATATGTTTGTTATTTATAATGTAAAGAGTGAAATTTGAATAAATTATTGTGGCCACGTTTGATATCGAATTCAATCATTTAAATACTATTTCTGATTTTTTGGAGGGATGTTATTGATTGAAATTAAAGTATCGAGTATCGATTAAGTAATTGTAATTTCAGTTTAATTTCTTTTAATTTTAATTATCTATAAATAACATCAGATTGTTTAAATCTTATGTTATTCTTTACATTTTCTTACAATTTTCCCTTTGCATACTTGCTATTTTAATCAATAGTGATAATAGCTTTTTTTAGCTTCATTAATAAATTTCAGGTAATATTGGTATTAATGGTACAATTAATTCGATTCCGCACGAGCAATGGGAAATTCACCATTTTAATTAGCAAGTTCGAAGGCTCTCAGTTGTTTCTTGCTTCTCGATAAAGATTACCACGTATCACAAGCCTGCGAGAATACCTAAAGTTGGAACGTAGTAGAAGTTAGGACCGTAGTAGGACTGGTTTCGAAAATTAAGGGCATGTGCAACGCCCCTACATTGCATGCTTACATGTCCTTTGTGGCAAGCTTGCGTAGGATGTGTACGAGATTAAGGAACCGAGACATTGCACTCCCATTTCTGCTTTAACGAGAATAATTATCGTAATTATATATATTAGCATTCGAGGGAAAAAGTAATGGAAAAAATTCAATTCTTCGATCTGAATGATTTAAATTGATTATTTTTTTTTTCTGTAGCATTTATAATTTGTAAAAATTACAGGTAATTTTCTATTTTTACTTATTGTATTATTAAGATAAGATAACTGAAAAATTTAATTCTACAATTATTCGGTGATAAAACTTTTGTAAGAAAAAATTCTTTCTTACGAGCACGAAACAATTATTAATAACTTATATTCGTTACATTAATTGCTATATTTTCCAAATTAAATCTAATGTAATATTCGTTGAAATTACAGGTCCTTCTTCGTATTCCAAACTCGAAGTAATAAATAAAAGTTACGTTAACCTGTTGATATTTCTCCTACGCCAACGTCATGGAAAAATAGTTAAGACCACGTAGAGGAAGCCAAGGATGGATAAAATTATTCTGATATAAACTTCTCGCAAATTCTCACCAAGAGATTATCTTTTCTTTACTTTTTTTTCCCACAGTTTCTCTCACAACCCATACCATAATTTGGAAACCTCGAATAAAATCATTCACGAATTCTTTCGACAATGAACGTTATATAGTTTGACAAAATTCCAAATAATACGTGAACCAATTCGGTCAGCAACGTTCTCAAAGTGTAAATTGGCCGCATCTGAGACCAGCCGTTTCAATAACGCCCACGCGGTACACTTTGGAGAGCATTAACACCATTCGGGTATAGAAAGCGAACGAGGTTTTGGTGCATAGTTGGCACCGGATTTTATGATAATAAATTTTCGGATGAACCTGCCGATTAGCTTCCTTCTCATCGATTTTAAACGTTGAAATATGTAAGGAACATTATCTCTAACAATTTTCCTTTATATACAACGGATACAATTAAAAACTTTAACTAAAACAGGTATGTTGAATTTCATAATTAATATTAGATAAAAATACTGAAAAGAATTTTTTGGAAATGTGACATCTAACGTATAAAAGTTAAATTATAAGAAAAACTTCACGTGTTATTTCCTCGTGAATTATATACTCCTGATAATAACACGAAATTTTTCACATCTGGAAATTTTTAACTTTGTATTAGGAGAATATGATCTGACAGGAGATAGCACCCGAAATTTTTCCAAAGAATAAATTTCTACCAAATTTTTGATATTGTATTAGAAGAATATAATTTGATAAAAGATCGCATGAGAAATTTTTTTCAAGAAATTTAGTACATAAAAATGACGACAAATTCTCGGAATCTCTAAAATTTTTGAAATTGGCATCAAAATTTTTAGAATTTTCGAAATAGAATTTCTTTGAAATAAATTAAAAGAAGGGAATTTTTGGAAAATTTTCTAATTCTTTATTATAAGAATATAATCAAAGATGATATGTAAAATTTTTAAAATTTAACAAATACGATAATTTTCGATAAAATTTCGATGCATCATCATTAGGAAAACATAATTATAAGAAAAGTTTTCTAAACGTTTTCACTATCTATTTACAGTTTCTCAAATGGTACATCCACACATATCCCTTGCTAAAATAGGTAAGCAAATAAGAATATCAAATATTTATAGTGTTAATAGTTAGAAATAAGTAAAATGTTAAAAACTGTATATTCCTGAAAAAATTTTCGACAAAAAAGTAAGTACAAAGGTAAGTATAAAGGTAAGTATAAAGGTAAGTATCAAGATAAGTATATTTCTATTATTATTTCATCTATTAATTAGCTACAATTCATTAATATTCTTCTAAAAAATAAAGAAAAATTTTCGAAAACACATAGCAGAAAGATTAAAATCTTGATTTGTTAATTTACACTTTCAAACAAAAGAAACTTAAATATCATGTAAATTAATGATTTTTTATTATAAATGGCCATATACATACTTATAAAGAATGCTGGGACGCATAGATTGGTCTATTA